AATAATTAATGATGTTCAACATCTTTTCATGGTCCCATTGGCCATCTGTATACCTTCTTTGGAAAAATATCTGTTCATACTCTCTGTCCATCTTTTGATTGGGTTGTTTGTTTTTTTCTTTGTTTCTTTATTGCAGTAACATAGGTTTATAACATTACATAAATTTCAGGTGTACATCATTATATTTCGATTTCTGTGTAGATTACATCATGTTCACCATCTAAAGACTAATTACAATCTATCACCACACATAGGTGTCTAATCATCCCTTTTGCTCTCCTTCCTCCCTGCTTCCCTTCTGGTAACCACCAGTCCAATCTCTGTCTCTATGTGATTGTTTGTCGTTGTTTTTATCTTCTACTTATGAGTGAGATCATACAGTATTTTATTTTCTCCCTCTGACTTATTTCCTTTAGCATAATACCCTCAAGGTACATCTGTGTTGTCACAAATGGCCACATTTCATCATTTCTTATGGCTGAGTAGTATTCCATTGTGTATATACACCACATCTTCTTTATCCATTCGTCCTTTGATGGGCACCTTGGTTGCTTCCAAGTCTTGGCTATTGAGAATAATGCTGCAATGAACATAGGGATGCATATATCTTTACACATTCATGTTTTCATGTTCTTTGGATAAATACCCAGCAGTGGAATAGCTGGATTGCATGGTAGCTCTATTCTTAATTTTCTGAGAAATCTCTATACTGTTTTCCATAGTGTCTGCACTGGTTTGCACTCCCACCAGCAGTATATGAGAGTTCCCCTCTCTCCACATCCTCTCCAACATTTTTTTCCTGTCTTGTTAATTATAGCCATTCTGATGGGAGTGAGGTGGTATCTCATTGTAGTTTTCATTTGCATTTCCCTGATAGTTAATGACGTTGAACATCTCTTCATGTGCCTGTTGGCCATCTGTCTATCTTCTTTGGAGAAATATCTGTTCAGATGTTTTTCCCATTTCTTAATTGGGTTATTAGGGTTTTTTTGTTGTTGCTGAGATGTGTAAGTTCTTCATATATTTTGGATATTAACTCCTTATCAGATATGTGGTTTGCAAATATCTTCTTCCAATTGGTAGGCTGTCTTTTAATTTTGTTGATGGTTTCCTTTGCTGTGCAGAAGCTTTTTAGTTTGATGTAGTCCCAGTTGTTCATTTTTTCTTTTGTTTCCCTTGCCTGGTCAGACATGGTACTTGAAAATATGTTGCTAAGACCGATTTCTAAGAGCGTACTGCCTATGTTTTCTTCTTGAAGTTTCATGGTTTCGGGTCTTAGATTCAAGTCTTTAATCCATTTTGAGTTAATTTTTGTGTATGGTGGAAGATAATGATCTACTTTCATTCATTTGCATGTGGCTAAATAGTTTTCCCCACATCATTTATTGAAGAAAATTTCCTTTCTGGATTCTATGTTCTTGGCTCCCTTGTCAAAAATTAGCGGTCCATAGATGTTTGAGTTTATTTCTGGGCTCTTGATTCTGTTCCATTGATCTGTGTGTCTGTTTTTGTGCCAGTACCATGCTGTTTTGGTTACTATAGGTTGTAGCATGTTTTGAAATCAGGGAGTGTGATACCTCCAGATTTGTTCTTTTTTCTCAGGATTCCTTTGGTTATTTGGGGTCTTTTGTTGTCCCATATAAATTTTAGGATTCTTTGTTCTATTTCTGTGAAAAATTTTGTTGGGACTTTGATAGGGATTGCATTGAGTCTGTAGGTTGCTTTAAGAAGTATGGACATTTTAACTATGTTAATTCTTCCAATCCAAGAGCATGAAATATCTTTCTGTTTCTCTTCTTTCGGTTTTTTTTTTTTTTTTTTGAGGAAGATTAGCTCTGAGCTAACATCTGCTGCCAATCCTCCTCTTTTTGCTGAGGAAGACTGGCCCTGAGCTAACATCTGTGCCCATCTTCCTCTACTTTTTTATATGTGAGATGCCTGCCACAGCCTGGCTTGCCAAGCGGTGCCATGTCTGCACCCTGGGATGCAAACTGGCGAACCCTGGGCCACCGAAGCAGAACGTGTGAACCCAGTCGCTGCACCACCAGGCTGGCCCCTCTTTCCATTTCTCTGTGTCGTCTTCAATTTCTTTCAACAATGTTTTATAGTTTTCAGTGTACAGATCTTTCACCTTTTTGGTTAAGTTTATTCCTAGGTATTTCATTCTTTTTGTTGCAATTGTAAATGGGATTGTATTCTTAATTTCTCTTTTTGCTACTCCATTGTTAGTACATGGAAATGCAACTGATTTTTATATGTTGATTTTGTAACCTGCGACTTTACCATATTCATTTGTTATTTCTAAGTTTTTTGGTGGATTCTTTACAGTTTTCTATATGTAAATTCATGTCATCTGCAAAGAGTGACAGTTTCACTTCTTCCTTTTCCATTTGGATCCCTTCTATTTCTTTTTCTTGCCTGATTGCTCTGGCTAGGACTTCTAATACTGTGTTAAATAAGAGTGGTGAAAGTGGGCATCCCTCTCTGGTTCCTGTTCTTAGAGGAATAGGTTTCAGTTTTTCTCCATCGAGAATGATGTTAGCTGTGGGTTTGTCATATACAGCCTTCATTATATTGACATATTTCATTGTAGTTTTTTTTTTTTAAAAGATTTTATTTTTCCTTTTTCTCCCAAAGCCCCCTGGTACATAGTTTTGTATTTTTAGTTGTGAGTCCTTCTAGTTGTGGCATGTGAGATGCTGCATCAGCATGGCTTGATGAGTGGTGCCATGTCTGCACCCAGCATTTGAACCGGCAAAACCCTGGGCCACTGAAGCAGAGGCCGCGAACCCAAACACTCGGCCATGGGGTCAGCCCTTTCTTTGGAAAAATGTCTGTTCATATCCTCTGTCCATCTTTGGATTGGGTTGTTTGTTTTGGTTTGTTGTTGAGTTGTATGAATTCTTATGTATTTTTGGATATTAATTCATTATCAGATATATGATTTGCAAATATCTTCTCCCAGTTGGTAGGTTCTTTTCATTTTGTTGATGGTTTCCTTGGCTACTCTTCTTGAGTGACAAAAAGCCACTGTGGACTCAGTTGACTCATATTAATTTGTGTTTAAAAACTACAACTGTATCTACAAACACTTGAATGATTGGTAAATATCTGTGGCTGGAATTACTGATTCAGATCACAGACAATGCTTTGTGTTAAAATTGAATGGTTTGAACTTGTTGCAATAATTACCCTGCAGGGTCATTTGTTCATAGTGCTGGCACCTCAGACATGGAAGAGCATTGGTTTTGGAATCTTATAGACCTGGGTTCAAATCTCAGCTTTGCCATCTCCTAACTATGCCATCTCTGGCAAGTTGCTTAACTTCTCAGTGTCTCAGTTTCTTCACCTCTAAAATAAGGGGTAATATCTACCTCTCCTTGTTGTCAGACGATTGAATGATGTAGTGTCCATAGGAATCTGATGTATGATGGGTGTCAGATCTGTGTCCATTTGTATTCTCACAATTTGAACAAAACTTAGTAATCCACATCCCTTTGAAAACAATTATCTAAATTGCAGATTGCCTGGGCATTAAGACCTTCATACCGAGAAGGACTTGTAACCCCACTATCTGAACACAAGGAGAGGAATACAGTATGCTTTACATTCAACAGTACTTTCAATGTTTTGTTATTACATTTATTCTCTAGGAGCATCTAGGGACAGACTCAGCCTTTATCTAGTATCTTTTACCTGACTTTTAATTCTTCCTGCACTCCTTCTTCTCCTCCCTTTCTTCTTTCTCCCAACTCACCCTGTGCTCTGGAGGACCATGAGCACAACGTCAATGTGATGTTGCCACTGTCACTGGTGATAGCCCATGTGTTCCTGAGGGCTACCTTGGAGCAGCTGGACCCATGCAAAACCCCTCCTTAAAGAGTGGCCCTGACTGCAGCATTAACAGTGGTGGTGGAGGAGGCCCCTCATGAGTCATTTTCCTGATAGTCAAGGCAGGAATCATTATTGATTCAAAACATGCCTGTCTTTCTTCTCTGGAATGGAAAGCCAGAGGCCACTTAAAGGGCAGTCTGTTCGACAAACAAGAAGGCAGGTGGGGCAGAAGTGAATGCAATGAGGTAGTACAGAGATGCGCTTTGTGAGGGCATGCTGTCTGAGGAGGTGTGATTTATTCATTGCCAGGGAGCCTGGAAAGTTGTTTGACTCAGAGCCTTTGTCTTCTCTGTCTCCTGCTCAGTCCCCCTCACACCTCTCTCCACTTGGTGGTTGTGTGGAAGGATTGTGTGAGTCTCAGAAGCATCTTACACTTGTGCAAGGACCCATGTCAGACTCCTTCCTCTCCTTTGGGAAATGTGCTTTGCCTGTTTCAAGAACATTCCTTCCATTTCCTGTTCCTGAGGCTGTACAATGTGCTTCATCACTTCTTTTGGACATAAGTGTGAAGAAAGATAATCCCTGAAGAACTTTTCATCCCTGACCAAATCCTTTTTTCCCATTTCCTCAGATAGTTTGAGAAATCAGCACCCATGTTGCTACTCCCTGGCCTTGTGTTGGTTCTTCAGAGCGGGTAGCCACTCTTGGATCTATTTGTCAGAGGTAGAATTAGAGCAAGGAGCCATGAGGCATGTTGGGACGGGGATCATGTGACAATGGAACGAAGAACAAAGAGCAGGAGGCTCAGCATTTTAGGCAAACAACCAATCCAGGAATGGGAGCTACTAGTATTTCCTGTTTATTTATCTTTTTTAGGCTAATTATCTGTTTCTTGTTCTCAAATTGAGAAGCTGTTTGCCTGGCACAACTTTAGATACCCAGAAACAATCTACCAAATATATGCTTCCAGTGCAACCTGGGGGTTCATTAGGTTAATTAATTAATAGTGGTTAATAAATGCTTTGAAATCCTTTTATTAAAAGGGCCTCCTGAGTCCAAAGTACTATTATAATCAGGCCTAATGAGGTCAGTGGTTTAAAGAGAGGGTTTTAAATCATATATAAAGCACTCCCGGTGATTGGTGGTACAGAATAAAGGTGAGAAGAGTCAGGTGAGTCCACATGCTGGCAGAGAACCTCCTCCAGAGCAGCAGAGCCGCGCTGAAGTTTGCTCGGATTGAAGCCAGGCGCTCAGAGATCTACCGACTAATGGATTCCCAAATTGTTAAACCTGTGTTATAGGACAAAGGCCACCACTTCCCAAAATCCTGACGTGCAGGTTGCTGCTGATTACAGAATATCTTCTCAAATAGAGAAAAGAGATTTTCTCTGCAAAGTCACAAACCAGGTTAGTGCTAGCCTTCTTGTATCTTGTCAAACAGAAAAGTTGCCTTTCGAATGAAACCAAGAATAGAGTTTATGGAGGAAGATATGAGGCACAGCAAACCTCTTCTGAGTCACGATCTCTAACGCTCCTCTTAGCAGTTTCTTTGGATTTTCTAAGGAGGCTGTAGTACAAGAATAGGAAAAATATTATGATATGGCCAAGCCTGGAGATGGGATGGGAGGATGTGTACAGATAACATATGTAAGATGTTCACAGGCTCATGTCAGCATGAAATTGGATTAAAATGAGTGGGAGTTTATGCTTAGGAAAGAGAGTGATCCAATGAACCATAATACTGAGCTTATGAGAATAGTATTTTGGAACTGGAAAAAGGCTATTGAATTGGAAATTACTCTAAATTTCTTTTAAATCAAAGCAAGTTTTCTTTAGGGAACTTTCAAGTTTTAAAATTAACCAGTTTCTCTTTCAAATCATAACAGGTGCCGTAGGATAAGATTGAACACCATGCTTTCCTCTATCCTGTTTTTGGGACTTATTGCCGTTATTGGTAAGTCATTGATTGACATTTAGCATTGTTCACAGGGTGCCCACAAAGACATTCAGCACAGTCATGAATCAGAAAGAGTAATGATTACATGTAATGGAGGAGTGGGCTCTCTTTCTAATCAGCCTAGCCATCAATCAACTGCTGATTTCTGTCTTCAGAGTGTAATCTGTTTACCAAGCAGGTAAAGGCGCCACCAGAGGGAACTTATGGAAGAGTGCCTTGGAAGGCAAGACATGTAAAGATAAAATTATCAATGCTGGACAGTAAATAAGAGTTAAACAAGTGTAGCTAGAAAAACACTAGTACGAAAGGAGTTTAGGTTGGAGAGTTCACATCTAGTTGGCATGTTGAAACCAACAAAGCTTTTTGGGGGACGTGATGGTTGAAGAATGCTTCGTGTTTTAATAAGAGAAGAATCTGCTGGATGATAAGAAAGACTTTAGGAAAGGCACAGAGGCAGAAATGCATGAAAAGTGTTTGGGATACAGTTAGCAGGTCAGTGTGACCAGAACAGAAGAGATTTCTGAGGGCAAGGCTGGAAAGGTAGGCAGGTGAGATGATCAGGGATCTTGAATAAGAAGAGATTCAAACTGCTGCCTAAAAAATGAAAAGCCATTGTAAACAATGTTCAAGTTGTTCTTATCAATAGTGTGAAGATTGAGATGAAAGTGTTTCTAAAATGTTTAATTCTAAATTTGGAAAAATAAGGCTGCTGAAAAGCGATAATTTCCTGTTATCTATGGTCAAAGGCAAGGGAGCATAGTTTAATTTTTACTCCTTCTTTAATTGCCAGGTGGGAGCAGAGTTATAGAGCCAGCAGACTAATTATGATCTACCATAGTAGCTGTGTTTAACTGAGAGGTGACTATAATTAAGAAAGGCTTGTATGTTTATGATGCCAACACAAGTAGTGTAAGGTCTGTGGTCATATTTCAAGCCCCTTAAAGCAGTGGTTCCCAAACTTCGGTATGCATAAGAGTCTGCTGGGAATGCTGGTTAAAGTGCAGATTCTTTGCCTTATCGCTAAAGATTCTGGTTCAATAGACGTAGTATGAGGAGCCAACAGATATGCATTTTTAATAGGCATCCCAGAGCACTTTTATGCCTGTGGTCTGTGGGCCACATGTTGAGTCTAGCAAAGGTTGCCTCCCCAGTAAAAGGATATTGACCCTGTTGATATATGGACACTTGATCCAGATAATTTAGATAATTCTTTTTCTTCTCGTTCACTCATCTATTTATCCATTTCTCAAATATTTGTTAAATGTCTACTTTGTGCCAAGCATTGTTCAAAATGCTGAGGAGGATACAGCATAGAAAGAAATGTTCTAGTGAGAAGAGCAGGCGGAAAGAAAGAGAAGAAGAAATAAAGGGAAAAATAAAGGTCAGAAGATGATAAGGGATAGAAATAAATTAGTGTAAGGTAATGGGAAACAAGGAATGAGGCATGAATGTGTTACCTTTTTAATATACATAGACAAGAAAGACTCTCTAATGAGATAACTTTTTTAAAAATTTTGTTATAGAAAGTTTTAAACATACAAAATGGAGAGAAGATAGTATGATAAACTCCCACATACACATTATCCAGCTTCTATGGTTTTCAATATTTTGCCATTCTTATTTTATCTAGCCCTCATCTCTGCATAGGGGGAAGGGGGGAGGTGGTTGGAATATTTTAAAACAATCCAAAACATCAAGACATTTCACCTGTGAACTTTTTGATATGTGTCTGTAGCGTAAGAACCAGCTCTGACACAAGAAGATGTTCCTGGCTCATCTTGAACATTTCCTGCCTCAGACCAGGAATGAGTCATTTTCCAGAGGAACATTGATTCCTCTTAGCAGGAAATGGTATCTAGAGACCACACTTGGGGTGCTAGGGGTGCTTCATTGCTATGGGGTTGTCATTCCAGGTCTTTCTGGTGGAGAGAACTAGAAAATACATAAATACGTATTTTTTAAAAGAGAAAATAATTATGCATTCACATGAATATTTCATTTTCATATTTAAGAATACAAGGGTTTTACATTGGTCTTATATTTGTACCAGTGCTGTCTCACACTAAATATCCTGGTTCCTAATGACAATACCATGATTACTTATTTATACATAATAGTTTCAAAATAACTATGACAGCATTACCAATGATGAGACTGGTAATATAATTTAAGATTTTCTTATGATTCTTTATGTTCATAGGATGTGTGCCACAAGTGATATATACTTACATTGACATGTTTTAAAGTCACTTGAAATAATTCTCCTCTATGCATTGTTTTCAGTTTGATTTAGAGTTATGTTTATTTTTCATATTTTTAGGATGTCGTCTTTTTCTATTTAATTTTTTAAATGATGGAAACACTTACATGACTCCAAAATAAAGACTATAAAAAAGGTACATTTAGAGAAGTCTAGCCTCTATCCCTATCTGCTTTACCTTCTTCTTACCCTCTCCCATAACTAACCATTTTTTTTAGTTTTTGGTTCCTCCTTGTATTGTTTCTTTCAAAAATATAAGCAAATTACACAAACAGACAAAATCATATTTTCTCCCCTTTCTTAAACAATGAGTACCATTCTATAAATACTGTTCTATTCCTGGAGATAATCTTATAGGAGTATATAGAGTTCTTCCTCTTTCCCTTTCATAGCTTCACAGCACCCCATTGTGTGGAGTTAGCTCAGCTTATTCAATCAGTCCCTATATCAATGACTTTTGCACTGTTTCCAGTCCTTTGCTGTTACAAGCAGTGCTGATACAACCATCTATTGCAAAATCCTCCTCCACAGCAATGTATGAGACAGCCTACCCCCTCACAACCTCACTCATGGAGTACGTGGTCAAACTTTTGGATTCTTGTGAATTAAATAGGTAAAACATAGTGTCTCAGTGAAGCTTTAATATGGAATTCTCTTCTTTTGAGAATGATTGTTTATATGTTTAATGATCATTTTCTTCTTTTGTCTATGAACTGTCTATCCATATCTTTTGCTGATAAGCTGGTATTTGAACAAAGACCTGAAGGCAGTGAGGCAGCAAATAGATGTCTGGAGGAATAGAATTCTAGGCAAAAGGAATTACAAATACAAAGGCCTTGAGGCAGGAACCTGCCTGGCATGTTGCAGGATAAGCAAGGAGAAGAATGTGGCTGCAGAAGAGTTAGAGAAGGGAAGGAGAAGTCAGGAAGTGAGCAGAGGGCCAGATCAGGTAGGGCTCAGAGGCCACAATATAGACTTGGCCATCCCTCTGAATGATGGAAGCCACTGGAAGGTTAAGAGAGAAGACTGATATTACCCCTTGCATGTGGCCACAGGATCACTCTGGCTGCTGGGTGGAGAATAAACTGTAAAGGTGGAGCCGGGATGTCAGTCAGGAGGCTGTTATAATAATCCAGAAGAGCAATGATGGCGGTTTGGACCATGGTGATAGCAGAAGTGGTGAGAAATGGTCAGATTCTGGATACATGTTTTCAGTCTGCACTGTGACTCTGAACACCCACACCTCAATTTTACAGTGATCTGTATTATAGACATCCATTCATTTGTTCACATATATTTCCCACACACATTGTAGGCACAAGATACTACACTGAGGCCATGGGGCGTGCCCATATGATGGTTCCTGCTCTCTGCATCACATGGGAATTCACACTGCTTATAGAAGCTTAATAGCTTTGCTGGTTTCTGCTGCTTTTATTATCTAGATAAGCTTTCTTAGTATCCCCAGTTTACTTGATAGTTTCACTATCTGACTTCTTGGTCTGTTTAAAATTCCTTTTTTGCCTGTTAGAAGATGAGAGAGAGCAGATTGTGCCTGTATTTTTGTTTGTTTTGGTGAGTTTCACTTTTCAAAAATTATATAGTTTTAAAAAGTTAACATTTGGAGTTGTTTTATTTTCCTTTTAAAATCAATATTTTTTTTTGGTTGTGTGCCTAATTCTGAGAGAGTTTCTTTATACTGTCAAATTAATCAGAACTAGACCTATGGTGGATGAGTAAAATCCACCTCTATTTTTAAAAAATGCTATTTACAACACTAACTGAAACAATGTATTTTTTTACAGCAAGCATTTTAACAAATGTAATTTCTTGCAACAAATATTTGTAGTCTTAAGGTACAAGTCAACAATTCTAGGAACTAATTAGAACAAATTTTTCAACTTAGAGAAAAGCTCCTTATCTCCTTTAGTAAATAGACTTGGACAGAAACTCACTTCATAATGACAAAATAAAACATAAGAATAGATTTAGCTTAAATTTTATGGTAAGTTAAATTTCATTTCCAATTTTATTAATTAGACTTAGAAACTCAGCTTCACAGCAAGGTGACATAAAACTAGTATCTTAAGTTAATGGTAAGCTTTCTTATCTTAAATTGTAATGGTACCCTTCTTTCTTATTTTCCTAAACAAAGACAATTGTTAACCTAGATGTTTACACCCCTACAAGTATTTGTGTCAGAAGTGTCATAAAATTTCTCTCAAAGTTCCTGCCTAAAACTCTAGTGGCAATTTTAATTCTAATCAAGATTACAGCAAATGTTTTTGGGACTTATAAGAACTGATTTTCATAATACTTTGCACAATGTTTAGAATTAAGTGCTGGATTAACATTTTTTTAAGGTTGAAGTAGAGTGGGAAGGGGGAATCTTCTGACCTGTGTGATGAGCCATTCTAGGGGTCTGGAGGAGGTACTGGAGAAGGAGTAGTCTATGTTCCTTATAGCAACTCAAGCAATATTTTCTCACAGGCGCCATATCAATTATCACTCTGTCCCCTAGGCACTTCCAGGGGCTCGTACCCTTTCACTCAGTCGATGAACCCTCACCTGCATCCCCGCCTGTACCATGGCTGCTATGGCGACATCATGATCATGGAGACGTCTGGCGCCTCCTGTGATGTAACCAAGTTGCTTAACTGTGGTAAGTGAAAAGCAAGCAAACATTTGGTTTTTGCCTTTCATCATTTTCAGATTCTTTCTTAGAAAGTAGTTTAATTTTGAAAAGATATAATCATTATTACAGCAGTAATACCAAAATAAAAAATTAGAGCAAAACAGAATCCTGAATAACCTAACAAACTGCTTCTTTTCATCTTCCCGTATTCTTTGCAAACCTTGTCCAGATCTGTTTATTACTACATATTGAAATTATTGCTTAAAGAAAATATTAAGTTTTGGCTTTGTTTTTTCTTTGTTGTTGTGTCTACTTCATGTTATAGCATCAGAATTTTAAGCAAGGCTCTTGTCCTTTGTACGTCCTCTCTTTTGTAATCCTGTTCCAAAGTCTTCTTCATGTTATCCCAGTGTTAGAGTATCAGAGCTGGATGCTGCAAGGTCAATCTAATCCTACCTCCCCAGTTTACAGATCAGAAAATGAGGCTCAGCAAGGAAGAGAGACTTCCCAAGGGCCCAGGGCTAGGTAGTGGCAGAACAAGACTCAAACTTAGGTTGGCTGACTTCTAGTCCAAGAGTCTTCCCGATGCCCCAAAGTGGCAGAAAACAGAAGAATGAGAGAGCAGAAATGGTATCTGTCTGGGGTTATGAACCTTTCCAGGTTTATGCAATCAGAGATCAAAAATTGTCCTGGAATGGTTGTCCCAGCCTATGGGCTGTGGTCAGGGAGTGGCTAACTTGTTAAACTTTGAAAAAGCGTTCTCTGCTGCAGTAGTTTATTTTCTATTGACTTAGGGATTCCCGGTTCCGAAATGTTTGCCGAGATGGATTTGAGGGCCTTAAAGCCTTACCGGGTTCTGATCAAAGAAGTCGGGCTGAGGCACTGCGTGGACCCTGCTCTCATTGCAGCCATCATCTCCAGAGAAAGCCATGGAGGAGTCGTCCTGAAAGACGGCTGGGACCACAAGGGACTTAAATTTGGCTTAATGCAGGTACTTAGACAGAAACCGCGAATCGGCCCCACTTCATCCTTCCTTACAGATCCAAATTGGAAATCTATTTGCAGTACTTCCAGGTTTCAAAACACTCTGTTACTTCAGCGTAATTTGTCCTGGGATTTCTCCATCACATCTTTGGCATTTCATTCAAGATTTATCAGTTATTGAATATCTTCAGAAAAAACATTTTATGAGTTTCATAAGTACAATTTGCAGTTAATAATATGCAATGTAGTTAAATTGAGAAAATCTTATAAAGGGCACTATTACAGGTGTCTCCTACGAGTTCATGAAGTAGAAAATTTCATCCATGTAGATCAAACCACTATAATTAAGCCCTACTGGAATGAACTCAATCTTTAGGCAAATTGGAGAAAAGGGATCCAAATTATCTGGATTTTTGCTTCCACACTTTATTTTAAATTGTCTGTAGAAACCCAGACTTCTAGCCTTCCCAGTTTGAAACAAATTTTTATTTTTGACTGCAAATGTCTACACTTTGGGTGCTAATTATTTGTTTTGAAGTAACTTTTTCATTTATTTGTATTTGTGTGCTTAGCTAAAACTCTGCCACGTCTGCTTCTCCCAAATCTTACTTTGTCTGACTCGCTTTTCTGTGAAAGAAAGGATTATAGAATTAACTCTGTGGGGATAAAGGAAGGGCGCCAAGGCCAATGTCTACGAACTTGAATACAACGAGGGGAAATTAGGAACAGCAGAAAAATGTGTTGCTTCATCCAGATGCTGACATTATTATCTGAATTTTCTAGCTTGATAAAAAAAGTCATCACCCCGTTGGTACCTGGGACAGCAAAGAACACCTTTTGCAAGCTGTTGGGATTCTAACAGACCGATTTAAGGCAATCCAGAAAAAATTCCCCACGTGGAGTGTGACTGAACACCTCAAAGGTAGGCCATATTCATGGTGCTTTGTTTAAAAGAGCAATGAGTGAGACCCCTGGAGGCCAGACGTGCCCTGGGCCTCCCGGGGAGCGTTCTCATTGGGTCAGCAGTGGTCCGAGAGGAGCCGTGGAAAGGCTGCTCAGTGCTCTTGGAGCCACTCAGTCACTGTGAGTGGTCTTCCTACCGGACTTCAGTTTCCTCTTCTGCCAGCTGCTGGGGTTCTTATTACACCTCTTGTTGGTTAATGAGCCATTGAGTGATACCTTGAGGGTTAATGCAACAGTTAAAAGAATACATTTGTCTTCCTCTGATAGATGTTTTTCCTGATGCAAGGAACTAAGCCACTTTCTGAATTGTTTGGAAAAAATTTTCACTCTGTGAACATTCTCAGTGACATCAGGGCTTTAGATACCATGATAAGTCCAAGTGGAGACTTGAAGGCAGGGATCAGGACCAGTGGTCTTTTTCTCTAGATGTCAGAGCAGAACACAATTATATTAAACACGTAAACAACTATTGAAGATTAAAATTTTAGGGTAAAATGCATGTACGTACAAACACACATATACAGACACACCCCTATGAAGAAATGATTATGTCTCGGGTACCGTTGTGTACCCTGCACTCAATGTGTCACCCATCCTGGCACATAGTTGGTGCTTAAAAACATTTATTGAATGAATCAGTGAATAAAGGAGTGAGTTACTGAGAGAACGTTACAAGCATTCTCAGATTGGAGATTCACTAGGGATCTAGTTTTGCCAGGGCTAGACTACAGGGAGAAAACACAACTTTTGCAGCAAGGAAAAGACAAGTCTTTAAAAGGAGAGGGAGAAGAAAAGCTATCTGAAATTTTCCCGGTGATTCTTGGGGTAGTAGATCCTTTCAGAGGGGGAGGAAGGGTCTGGGACTGCCTGCTTTGGGAGGCTTGCCTGGAGGGCTGACGTGCTGGGAATGTTCATATCTTATTTTTGCTGTAAGTTAATATTTCATTCTGAATCTCTGTATTTCATTTCAGGTGGTCTCTCTGCCTTTAAGTCAGGAATTGATGCCATTGCCACCCCCGCAGACATAGACAATGACTTCGTCAATGACATTATTGCCCGAGCTAAATACTATAAAAGACACGGCTACTAGGCAAAGCTCTACGAGTGGACCAGGTTGGCAGGTGCTCACATGGCCCCTTTTTGAGAGTTTGATACGGATGCGTTGTGCCCAACACTGGCAAAGGAACAGTTGCCATTATGACAGAAAATTCATTTCCCAGTTTTCTTAATGCAAATAAGCATAAAAAGAAAAAAAGAAAATCCACCCAGTTCACAATATGGTTTCCATGAAATGAGCACGGACATATGCATATTTGTTTTGTAGTAAATATGAATATCATGGTAAATAACATCTGCATCTTCCAGCGAGGCCTCATTTTAGCCCATGATTTCAATGTCAACCTACTCCCTGTCTTACCAGAATTGCTAACAAGAGGAAAACCTGACCTAGCCTTTTGTCCTTTTCCCAGTATCTGGCTGAGTCACTGGGGCTTTGCTTGTGAGAAATGCCTGACTTATTAGCCAGTGGGACAATGGAGAAGGTAGGAATGGAATTCCAGCTCCATGAGTAACTGAGGGCTGACGGTGGTGACGCTGATATTCCTTAGGTGATGTACACCACACCCTTCAGGCCCGCACCAACCTCCTCTGTCTTCTTCCTCTTATTTACTGAAGATGCAGGGACTGGCTTCTTTTCTTCCATTTTCGGTAGTTACTGCCACACATTCTTTCAAGGGGTCCTCTTCCCACAAAACATGGCTGAAGATAAATATATAGGACCTGAATTAATTACAGTTCTTTGGTTGCAAGCAACAGTAACCAATTCTGGAAAATTTAAGCAATAAAAGGAAATTACTGGGGCCAGCCCTGTAGCATAGTGGTTAAGTTCACATGCTCCACTTCAGCGGTCCAGGTCACAAGTTCAGATCCCAGGTGCGGACCTAGCACCACTCATCAAGCCACACTGTGGTGGCATCTCACATAAACTAGAGGAAGATTGGCACAGATGTTAGGTCAGGGCCAATCTTCCTCACAAAAAAAAAAGAAGAAGAAGAAATTACTGGAAGGCCCAGAGAACCAATCAGAAGATTAAAGACAGTAAGAGAAACCAGCCAACTCTCGGGTCTGGGTAGCAGGAATCAGTTGACCATACTTTATAGCATCCCCACTGCATGAATGAATTAGCACTCTCACTGCGTAAGAGAACTCCAAAGACTTTTTCTCCCATCCTTTCGTCGTTCTGCTTCACCTTCATAGTCCCAGGAGAGAGACTCTGATGGATTTACCCGGGGTCATGTACATACCTACAGCTTGGCTACTTTGCTCTTTGGTCTTGCCTAGACCCCCTACAGTGGAGAAGATAAAATTCTCCAGAAGTAAACCTGAGGCAGTTTGTGGCTTTTACTTTCATACTAAGGAAAGGACATAAATAAATAATATGTTGGAGTGCAAAGCTCTCAAAGTCCCTGCCACCGTGGCCCCTGCTGGAGCTTTAGCTCCCTTTGGAAATGTTCGGTAAGTGTTTCTAGCTATCACTCCCCTTTCTGAAGAGGAATCAAAGTCATACCTGCCTACCTCCGAGCTCCCTTGGAGAAAGCCAAGTAAACCATTGTCTGCTCAACAACGTCTCAACCCAACCTGAAGATTTGACCCGGACAGGACTGGGACCCCTGTGTTTCACTGGTCAGAGTCACTGGTCAGCTGGAGTAGCAGCCCTGCAGCATACCGTCCAGCATCTTTTGTGATTGGTTAAGGACCACGCCCTACTAGTTGTCTAATGTTTTGTTTTTTTTTTTTTTAAAGATTTTATTATTTCCTTTTTCTCCCCAACACCCCCGGTACATAGTTGTATATTCTTCGTTGTGGATTCTTCTAGTTGTGGTATGTGGGACGCTGCCTCAGCGTGGTTTGATGAGCAGTGCCATGTCCGCGCCCAGGATTCAAACCAACGAAACACTGGGCCGCCTGCAGCGGAGCGCGCGAACTTAACCACTCGGCCACGGGGCCAGCCCCTAGTTGTCTAATGTTTTGATCATCATCCGTGAATGCGGGCAATCCAGGAAGTTCTTCAGATGTTCACTTCGCTTAGAATGATTTCTTCTGGGCTTTTCTTCACAAGCATGTACTCTGTATAATTGCCAGCCCCTTCAATGTCACTACTAAAGCAATAAAGTACATCCAGGTGAGATAATTTCTAAGTAATTTGAAAAACAAGAAATAGTACACTGACTTGTGCTCTGGATCTCTTCCCCCCGTATTCTCTTCATGACTGGGATACCAAGAGATGCTCTACAGGAGAGTCCATATTTAAGGTGTCTTAGTTTTATTTCCAGAAGCCGACCCAGAGACAAGGATTCGGGCGCAGAAAACACTGCGATAAAGTGGCTCGGTGATATAGGGAAGGGAAGACAGCCAATAAAACGTGTGTCATCAAGCCAGCTACCACAGTGGGCACTGGAGCTCAATCCTCCAAGAAAACATTGAGGAATGGTGCAAGACACATACCTCAGAATTATTCTACCCACGGGACAAGGAACTGGGATATTTATACGTCAACTTCTAAGAGCCATCGATTGAGGGAACTGCCTGTTGCAAGGAGGGTGTGTTAATTTGCTGCTCCTCTGGTCTGCCATGCAAGTAGGCAGCACACTTTCCTGCAGTTCCAGGGAGAAGAGGCTGTAGGCACAGAGATGCAGATACTGGCAGTTGGGAATGAACCAAGAATCCTGAAATGTCTAGAGATATGGGAAGGACACTGACAGCATCTGCTTCACACGGGTCAGATACACCTGGAGGTTGGGACTGTCCTTCCAACATTGCTTGCTTTCTTCCGTGACCTAACAACATTTAAGAACAATTTGCAAATAATACACAAGCCTCGTTATGCCTCACGATTTCCATGCCAACCTTCTCCATAATCTATTAGAATTACTAATTAGTAATTAGAATTACTAATTATATATATTAGAACTGTCCGCTTCTACTGAACCAGCTGATTCCCAGGGACTTACTGAGAACAATATTAAAGATATTAGACTCAAATGTGGCTCCATTAAATATTCCTTCAGTCTTTAATTTTCTTTCTTTCTTTTTTTTTTTTTTAAGGATTGGCACCTGGGCTAACAACTGTTACCAATCTTTTTTTTTTTTTTCTGCTTTATCTCCCCAAACCCCCCCTGTACACAGTTGTATATCTTAGTTGCAGGTCCTTCTAGTTGTGGGATGTGGGACGCCGCCTCAACGTGACCTGACGAGCGGTGCCATGTCTACGCCCAGGATCCGAACCCTGGGCTGCCGCAGCGGAGCGCGCGAACTTAACCACTCGGCCACGGAGCCGGCCTCTAATTTTCCTTATTATTATTATTTTTTTGGCTTATGCCCTCTTTAGAGATAATGAATTACTCTACGTTTACATCCTACTGTGTAAAATATCACTTCTTTTAGTTGTCTAAAAACTAAGCTCTCATGGGAAGATGAAGAAAGATTGTTTTATGAATAGTTTTCAAAGCAAAAAAAAATCTACAAATTATTTCCCTGGCTGGACTTATTCATAATCACATTCTCATTCTTTCTCATTCTTAGCCATCAGCACCTCACAGGACTTTAAGCATCAGTGCTAAGAACGTTATTAGAGGTACAGATATGGAATCTGACGCTTCCTTCCCTTACTTCCTCGCATAATGCTAAGAGAACATATCTGAAAAATGGGCTTAACGGGAAGACCCATCTCAGGGGTGTTGTGAAGACTAAAGGAGATAGGATGTGAGAAATCACTCAGCAATCATTGGTGGTGGAGTGGCAACAGCATCACCAGAGTGAGAGGCTTTGCAAGCCAGCAGGTCATGTGGATGTAAGATTCCTGGGAGAGAGGGACTTCTGAAAGTTAAAAGATAAGTTAAAGAAATAAGAAATAAGAAAGTTAAAGATAAGGTCACTGACTGCAATATACCCCTTTGCCAGTCCAATTGGGTTTTAGCCTATGAGGCAGCCTGTGAGCCTTCTTGCCTGCTGAGTACAGAAGAGAGTGGAGTTATCAGTCACTTCTTTTTAGTTGTCATTTCAATATTTATTTGTATTGAATTTAAAATCCCCTCTTTTAAAACATCTTCTTTTATTGTGAAATAATACACATACCGAAGAGTACATGTAATAACAAAACTGTTTAGCAAAATAAAGTGTTAGTGGTGTCAAAAAAGACGAACCACAGAACAGGAGAAGATATTTGCAACAAACAAGTAAATATTTTATTTTAGTCTAATGCATCCACCTATTCCCTTATTCTTCTTTCTTTTGACCCAAAGTGATATTTTACTTGGTTTTTATGAAGTTTCATTGATATTTTACTCCAAGTCTCATGAATAAAGAAACCCTATTGAGCATTCATGGAATACTAGAGGGCGTTGTTAAATTATGTGTTCATTGTGCTGCTTAATATTTTTTCCTTGATTTTTTCAATATTTTAATGGTGGTAAAATAAATATAACATAAAACTTACCATCATAACCATTTGTAAGTGTACAGTTCACTGGTATTAAATACATCCGTAACATTGTGCAACCACCACCACCATCGATCTTCACAATTCTTTTCATTTTGTAAAATCTAGATCCGTTAAACAATAATCCCCGCTCCAGCCTCCCCAGAGCCCCTGGCAACCACCATTCTACTTTCTGTCTCCATGATTTTGACTACTCTAAGTACCTTATATAAATGTTACCTTATTCTTAATGTTTTTCACATTCCATTTAAGAAATATTTTCCACCCTCAAATTACAAAGATATCCTCCTACATTACTCGCAAATGCTTTGTTGTTTTGTATTTCACACGTAGGTTTACGAAGCACTGGATTTTTGGTATGGTGTGAATTAGAGATCCATTTTAAATGTTTTTCCATATGGATATCCAAAATTGTCTCAAAAACATTTGTTGAAAAGATCATCTTTCCTCACTGCCCTGCACTACCACCTCTGTATCTGGACTCTATTCTGCTCATCGCTTTACTGATCCACCTCTACCAAGACCCAACCATCCGAGTTAGTATAGCTTTATTGCAAGTCTTGATTTCTGGTAAAGCCAGTCCTCTCACCTTGTTCTTTTCCTCACACTTTTATATAAAGTTTACAATTAGCTTGTCAAGTTTCACAAAAATGACTGTTAGGGTTTTTTTTTTTTTAATTAACAAACCATTTTCTACAAAAGTTTTAGATTCACAGAGAAACTGAGCAGAAAGGGCAGAGAGTTCCCGTGTACTCCTCTGTTCCCACACATGCACAACCTCCCCCAATGTTGACATCCCACACCACAGTGGTATATTTGTTATCCTTGATCAACCCACATTGACACATCATTATCCAAAGTCCATAGTTTACATTAGGGGTCACTCTTAGTGTTGCATATTGGATGGGTTTTGGTAATGTATCCACCGTTATAACATCATACAGAGTAGTTTCATTGCCTAAAAATCCTCCGCGCTTGGCCTATTCATCCTTCCTTCCCCCCTACCCTCTGGCAGCCACTGATCATTTTACTGTCTCGACAGTTTTGCCTTTTCCAGAAAGTCATGTACTAAGAATTATACAGTGTGCAGTCTTTTCAGATTGGTTTCTTTCACTTAGTAATATGCATTTAGCTTTCTTCCATGTCTTTTCAAAGCTTGATAGCTCATTTTTTTTAGAGCTGAATAATATTTTACCTGGACATACCACAGTTTATTTATTCATTCACCTACTGAAGACATATTGGTAGCTTCCAAAGTTTGGCAATTATCAATAAAGCTGCTATAAACATCCATGTGTGGTTTTTTTGTGTGGACATAGTTTTCCATTTTGGGGGGTAAATACTAGGAACATAATTGCTGGATCCTATGGTAAG